GTTGGTCTTAAACTCATAGCTATCTTCCTGCCTCAGCCTCCCGAGTATTGGGATTATAGGTGTGCATACCATGCCCAGCCTCAAACTCTCAAATTTTGATTTCTAGTGAGGACACCTCTCTCTGGGACCCTGAACATACACACACATTTACCTAGCTATAAAACACTTCATCTGGTCCTCAGAGGTGGTGTTGAGATCCCACACCTGAGGCTGACATCACATCTAGGCCACCCTATTAAAAACCTGCCTGAGTCCTCACAAGAAGTCCAAGTGCAAGTTGGGACAGTTCTTTGGGAACTGTCTCATACATGTGTTCTGAGACCTTGTAATTAACAGGCCACGCCTACTTCCACAGTCAGCTTTGCCATGCCCTAATCTCCTATGTCAGTTTCTAGGTTTACTCTGTCCTGAACAAAGAATAGGTCAAGACGAGCACAAATGGTAGCAGAGTTTCACTAAAGGTAAGAAAATAACAGGTGCTGCAGAGTGAATCTGCACTAAAAGTAGGAACTTTCTGATCTGGTCTCCAACTATTCTAGGTCTTGTTCTATTGGCACCAGCCATACTCGCTCCCTACTGTCCCTAGCACATGTCAGATATGTCCTTATTCTGGGGTCTTGGCAGTTTTTTTTCCTTTTGTCCGTAACATTTTTCTTGCTAGAGAATAATATAGGTTAGTCCTTCAAGTTTTTATTGTTTCTTAGGGAGTCTTCTGTACACCCAACTTAAAATACCCCCATCTGCCTTTTTATTCCCCTTTCTTGCTTTATTTTTCTCCTTATCACTGTGATATTTCATACATATATGTACTATATAGACATACACACACAAATTTATCACACGTATCTATGTATTCTCTCTCTACATTTTTCTCCTTCTCAAATAGAATGTACTCCATCATCACAAAAAAGGAAATTTAAATTTTGTTCAGTAAAGTAACTACATCAGTGCCTAGTATATACTAGGAGCAAAAACATTTCTGTTAGATGAATAAGAAAATGAATTTAAATATAGTATATAATTTTCTTCTAGGTTATAACCTCCAGAGTTTTGCATGTTACAAGTATTTTAATAGTGACAGTTTTCCACTAAACTATATGCTGAAATAAAAGAATCATCCAGAGGAAACTATATAGTTCTACAAGAAACAAAACTATGTTAACATATGGGTTCACTTTTACTGGACACTATGCATTCAATTTAAATGCTGAGTGTCTTTCTATAAATTACCTGGTGGTGAATTCTAGCAGGGAATACATCTTTTATAATGAAAAAATGAAACTCCTATTAATTTACTAAAACATTTCATTCAAGTTTTCAAACTTCTAAAAATTAAGAGACTTGTAAAAAGATGTTTATGGAGGAATAAAAATTACCAAAGGTCACTCAAAAATGGATTCATTTCAAAAGTAGTGAAAAATTATAATGCAGTTAAGAAAAATGAATATGGATTCTTTGTAAAACTGTTAAGTAACCATGTACATACTGTTAGTTCAATTATTTTAATTATCTTCAAAGATTAGGGAAAAAGAACTCCTTACTTTCTTTTTCATTAGAAAATCTTTAGAAGAGTGAAGCTTGCTGGGAAGATTACATGAACAGATTCGTAGCAATAAAAAGGGATTTTAAAATATTTTAGATCTGAAGACAAGCTGTATAAAACAGGTACTCGGTGTCATCTCTAAGCTGAGAGGAAAAATAAAAAGTGAGATATACACACAGAAAGCATTTAGTCTAACATCAAAATCATCAGAATATTGCATAAAAGCATTTAAAGACTGCTGTTACCTAATAATGCTTGCTGTCACACGAAATGGTCTAACCTATGCTTACTGCTGATTCTGACTCTTATAAACCATAATAAGTTGGGAGAGGTGCACCACTTTCATTTTAGTGGATCCCCTCCCTCTGCTAATTATTAAATGTTCTTCTAAAAAAATAAAGTATAAGGGAACGAAGTTTTTAATTAAAAATAAAACCCAAAACACCTTTTAGATTAAATACAGCTAAAAGCCTTTCGTTGCACTGAAAGCACTGCTGGTAGGTGGCTGGTACAGAATGAATCTTCTCAGCATACAGGACTAATGACTCCAACATAAATGCCACAATCATCACTCTCTGGCTAGCAGTGTGGTTGGAAAGAGGGTAAAAATAAAACAAGTTGTTCTGACAGTTATTCCTTAGTAATCGATTTACTGTCAAAAAGGAGCAAGTTAACTTATGCAGTTCATGGCTGTGAGGACTCAGCCTTGTTCATCATTCATTCACAACAAATACTAAGTGCGTATAATGTACAAAATTCTGAATTCAAATCCAATGATATCTTGAGTAAAGACATTACCCTCGATCTCAAAAAGTTCAAGATATTATAAAAGAAAACAACGATGAAGTCACCAAGGGAAAGCGTGCGGAGTGTCATCAAACTGACCCCCAGAGCTGTAAGAATGTCAACTGGGAGACCGCTTGGGACAACTCCAATCACAGCCAAGTACACGCCGCTTTATGAGAAAATCAGAGCGACGTCTGCCCATCATTTCTATAAAGCCTGGGTGCGAACTAGGAGGATTCGACTTCATGGCGGCAAGATGCCATGACTCACTCCACAATCACCGAAAGGTAGAAGAAAAACCACAGCTTCCCCACGATCAAATACGCATGTGCGACAGGATACTCGTTTTACTGTAAGAGGAGCCCAGGAGTCTGGAGGATGCTCTAGGTTGTGCAAGTGCCTTCCTCTCCAGTGAGTTAGCTCCGGGGCTGGGGCAGGGGAGAGGGAGTGGAAGGTGTACGGGTTCGATCTGGGGCGATGGCTCCCGAGCACCATCCTCGCAGCGCAGGCTGGGGATGAACAGCAGCCCCGAGCGCCAGCATGGTGAGAGGAAGCGCGAGAAGCCCGCGAGTCCCGGGCGCCGCCCGCGCTCTGGCGGTTCCAGCTGTCCCGCCGGTGCCGGCTGCCACGCGCCGCTGCGGTCTGCCGCCGCTACCTCAGGCCTATCCCCAGGCTTTTGGAGAACATCACTACAGTCCTTCCAAAGTGGCAGGTGGCAGCTAGAGGCCACAGCCCTCCCGCCTACTCACTTACCTGGAGAAAATGATCTCCCTGCGGTGGGAGCACAGAGGCCACAGGAACTCTTGCCTTCAAGTCTCAGTCACACAGCGTGTTGTACAGCCACCGGCCAAAATGGCGGTGCCCAGTCGCCGCCTCGCGCAAGCCATAGGGCGTAGTGCGCGTGCGCGATGGAGCGCGAGGCGGAGCCCTAGAGGTAGACGCCTGTATCTGACGTCATTGTGCTGCGACTCTCAAATACGTCATCAGGGAAGCCAGGTTGTGCTAAGGAGCTGAGTGGGAGTGGCGCGGAACTGCGGAGGCCGGGGAGTACCTGAGACGCAGTGGAAGCTGTAAGTGCGCTTTCCTCCAACATAGAGAGGGCCCCCCATAGTAAGTACAAGCCTTCTCCCCAGTTTCAACCTCTTATACTCGCGGTCTCCTCAGGGCTTGTGGCCCAGAAGTGGAGCCGGAGTTATTCCGGTACACCCGGGGGGTGAGGCAGGACCATCAGAGCGTGTCCTGACGGTGCTCCCGGTGGCGTTCTGTCTTTGACCTCGGTTCTCTGTGTTGTGTGGTCAGTTCTTCGAGACCAGGAATCTCATCTTCTCCGAGCTCTGTGTTTTATCCACTTGGTGGCGTCTAGTCCCAAGCCCGACAGTTGAATGCTGCCCCAACGTAGAGATGGTTGCATTATTTTCAGTTTGTGATGACGGCTACGGGCTTACTTTATGGCTGGACCTATTTATCTTTTTATTCACTAAATAAATTACTCGTTGAGCATTTAAGTCTCAGGCCTTTGTGAAGCTTACAATCCATTGTCTCTACTTTTACTTAATGAGAAGTGTTTGGGTGGCAGTGTGGGAACAATTTAGGATCTAATGGGTAGTGTCAAGGAGATGGTATATAGAACTTGTGGACTTCTTTAGCATTGGAAATAATGTTCTGTAGCAGTAACTGCTCCATCAGTGCAGTTTTACATACCCTTCACTGTCCAAGAAGTATTTTCCACATTTGTCTAGATTTACTAAGATTAACCAAAGATATTAAACAAGCAGTATATGAGCGATACATTTTTCTATTAATTTTTTTTTTTACTTTTTACAGAAAGATACTCAGATCCCAGCATAATGTGCATATTCTTTCTTTCTATATAGAATATTTTAAAAATGACCACACCAAACAAGACACCTCCTGGTGCTGACCCTAAGCAGTTGGAAAGAACTGGAACAGTAAGAGAAATTGGGTCACAAGCTGTTTGGTCGCTGTCATCTTGCAAACCAGGTAAAGCAAAACAATGCCAAAAAACTGTTGATAATAGTTACTTACAGTATCCTTATCCACTGCACTAACTTTAATGTTCCTCCTGTTTAGACGCTTCATTTTAGTTCTGATGAACTGGATTGCCATTTATTATATATCTCTGTGTAATTGCTGTATTTATAGCTAGATGAATTTAACTTCATGGCATAAGGTTCCCCCCCCATCTTTACCGTAATTGAGCTATTTAGTTGAGATTTTTTGACTTCTATTTCTGCAGATAGGATAAGGGAATGGTACCTTTTTTGAGTGATTATACAATGGTACCTTGGCTCATGAACTTCATTCTTTCCATAATTCTGTTCACAAATCAATTCAAATTTTCCCATAAGATCAACGTTGAACCTAACCAGTGAATTTGATTCAGTCCTTGTCCAATTTAGTTTGCGACCAGAATCGTGGAAAGGAATAAGTTTGTGAGGCAAGGTACCACTGTACATCCCAAAAGAAGTTTTTTACTTTGATTTGGGTAGAATCTTTTTCTCTTAAACATGTGAATGCTATTTCATTATCCTCTTTCCATATTGAGGGTAGGAAGGCCTATGCCTGTCTCTTTTTTTTCTAAATAACTTGCTTTTCCTGGAAGCATCTAAGATTTTTCTTTTTATTCTTGGAGTTCAAGGGTTTTGGTAGGATGTGCCAGGGCAGGATATATATTTATCTTTTCTGGTCTATCCTATAGTTTGGTAGGTATTTTCATTCTGTAGACTCAAGTTCAGCTGAATTTCCTTAGCTTGAGGAACTTAAGTTACATATTAGCTTAGTAGTCATCTTTCTTTCAGAAACTTCTACTGGTTATACATTAAGAACCTTGTAGCTGTCTTGCCATCCAAACCTCTTTTGTTTCCCTTAAGATTCCCTTCTCTCTTCTTATGGGTAGTTTATTAAAGAAGTATAATTTACATAGAATAAAACTCATCCTTTTTCAGTGGATTTTAGCAAAAAATTATTAACATAATTATCGCTACAATCAAATATAGAACATTTCCATCTTCCCCAAGGTTCCTGCGCCTTTCTGAGCCCTTGACAGCTTTTTATTTGTTTTGAGTCCATTTGATTTTGCCTTTTCCAGAATGTCAGTATAAATATTATCATACAGACTTTGGGTTCTGGCCTCTTTCACTTAGTGTAACTTCATTTGTGAGTTCTGCTCTTGCATGTATCAGTGTTTTTCCCTTTTTCATCAGTTTGTTGCACTGTATGAATATGACCACGGTTTATCTATTCATCAGTTAACCAATACTTTAATTTGCAGTAGCCACCTTCTAAAATAGTCACCAGTGGTACCTTTCAATATGCATGCCCTTTTGTAGTCCTCTCCCACATTGTGACCAGCAGAGTATGACAAAAGTAACATATGCAGTTTATGAGACTAGGTTATAAAAGACATTGTAGTGCTGCTTGCTCTTGATTGGATCACTCACTCTGGGGGTAATGAACTCAACATGCTTTGAGGAAACAAGTGGTCCAATGGAAAGATTTGGTGAGAAACTATGGCCTATCAGTACCAGTGACAAGCTGAGTCCTCTTGTTAACAAGAGTAAGCCATCTTAGAATACATTCTCTGTCTCCAGTCGAGCCTTCAAATAACTGCGTCTGTAGGGATTTAGCTTGACATGACTGTAGCCATCTTGAATTGTAATTGCCAAAATTGTCCCTGGTTGGTTTTCCTTGTACAGTTTCCCAGCAAACAATAAATAAACAAAACCATTAACGTGATATGTAGAGTGTTAGGACCCAGAGCTGGTGCCATCAGTGCCAAGAATGTGCCTGACATCTTTGATATTAGATTTCAGGTACTTTACAGTTTGAATGAAGTCACTTTTGTCCCCATTGTTATATAATCCCCTTGTACCTTAAATTGTGGGGATCCACCTGTCTTGTTGCTGTCCTAGACATGATGCTTCTATATATAAGAGTACCAAAGAAATTTCATTCCGTGTAATCCTGGATCTATCTGCCTTTTGTTCAGTCACACATTACTGTGTGGCTGGTTCTCATATACATACTTAAGTTCAGCTTTATCTTTACTAATTTTTCTGCCTGATGGTTCTGTCAATAACTGCTAGAGAGGTGTTGACATCCTCAGTTATAATAGGACTTGTCTATTTTGTACAGTTCTATCAGTTTTTTCTCAGGTACCTCGATATTCTGTTGTTAGGTGCATATATACTTAGGATTATTAAATCTTCTTGGAGAATTGACACCATTTTTATAATGCCCTGATAACTTTCTTTTCTTGAAAATTCTGCTTTGTCTGGAATTAAAATAGCTACTTCAGCTTCTTTTGATTAGTGATAGATCTTTCTCCATCTCTTTACTTTTTAAATTGTCTTTGTCTTTATATGTAAAATAGTTTCTGGTAGAAAACGTAGTTGTGCCTTGTTTTTAAAATTCACTGTCTCTATCTTTCAATTCTTTCTGAAAATTTTCTTTTTAAAATTTAACGAGGCAGGTCTACTGGTGATAGATTTCTCCAAGTTTTGTTTGTCTGAAAAAGTCCTTGTTTCTTCTTCCATTTCGAGGAAAAATTTTTAAAGGGTTCGTCCCTCCCTCCATCTTTCCTTCTTTATTGAACACAGGCCCCTCTCACTGAGCTACATCCCAGTCCTTTTGTGTTTTTAATTTTGAGACAGTGTCTCAATAAGTTTCCCATGCTGGGCTGAAACCTGCAGTCCTTCTGGTTTAGCCTCCCAGAGGAGTGGGATTACAGATGTGCACCACAATGCCTAGATTGTTTTTCATTATAACATTTCAAGTATTTCAGACTCATACTGCTTTCTGAAGAGAAGTCTGATGTAATTTTTATCCTTATTCTTGTATGTAAGGAGGTTTCTTTTTGCAAAATTCTCTCTTTCTCTGTTTTTTTTTTTTTGAGGTAAGGTCTCACTATATAGTTCAATTCAGGTGGGCCTTGACCTCCCTGTGTAGCCCAGGCAGTGATGCTCCTGCCTCAGCCTTCTGAGTGCTAGGATTATAGGCATGCACCACCAAACCTGGTTTCTCTTTGTTTTTGATTTTTGACGGTTTGGTATGATAGAGCTAGCTGTAGATATTTTGGTATTTATCATGTTTGATGTTCTCTGAGCTTTTTGGATCTATGATTTGATGTTTTGTCATTAATTTTAGGAAATTCCAAGCCATTCTTATTTCAAATCTTTTGTGTTCCTTTCTTTCATTCTTTTCATATATGCATATGTGTGTATACATATATATGTATGTATTTATTTATTTTGTGGTACTGGGGATTAAATCCAGTGCCTTTTTTTTAATTTTTATTTTAAAGAGAATAGTACAAAAAAAGAACAATAGCAAAATACAAACAAAACAAAGCAAAGACATTAAAAATGATACAGGGTTTCAAACCATATGATAGGCATTAACAGTGGTTGTTATAATACATATTGTTATCTTCAATGAAGTTGCTCAGATTACCAGATGTGAGAATAGAAGATTGATCAAATCATTAAAAGGGAATAAGAAAATAATAATTTAAAAGAACATTAGAGACAATACATAGTTTCACTAGACATGATTTTAGGAATTCACCAATGGTTGTTATACTGCAAATTATTGTCATGACATAAGTTGCTCAGATTACCAGATATAAGCGTGCAAAATTGGTCAAACTATATAAAAGAGAAAACTTTTAATCATTAACTGTTTGTACTAAGCTACATCTCCAACCTTTTTTTATTTTTATTTTGAGACACTGTCTCACTAAGTTGCTAATTTGCCCTAGGTGGCTGACTTGAGATGCTCCTGCTTCAGCCCCCAGAGTGCTTTAACTTTTGATATTTAATTATGTGTTCTTGATACTTTCTATAATTGCTGTATCTGAGGAGTTGAGGTCTAAATCCTCCAGTGTCTTTGTTTCCTCTTTTCTCTTTGGGTTTCCATAGAAACATCTTAGATGGAGTCTGACCCTACAGTTCTTCATTTGTAATTCCCTGGTGTTACATATATAGGAGCCTGCTGATATGTAATAAGTTGGTGGGAGTGTAGAAGTGCTCTGCAAGTATATGGCTAGGTTTCAGTTTTTTTGGGGGGCCCATGTCTCTGCCTCTGACTTTCACAAGTGTTTGTTAACTACTTCCCCCAGTAGGTAAAACAAAGAGGGTACAGAAAAGTAGAGTTGAATATTTCCCTTTAATTAGACTGTGCAAAATAGTTTTCCTCAAAGTATGGATTTTTATAACACAATGCTCTGGCTGTATTTTTGCATTATTACTTTCCTCATTCTTTTGCAGAGAGTATGGGGGCTTTTCCTTGAATCTTTATCCAGAAACCTGGTCGAGTTCCTTTTTTTTTATTATATATATTTTTTATTAGAACATGTTTGCAGTACACACTGATTACATTTATTGTGCGGAATTTGTACCTGTACATAATACATCTTAACTCTTTATTGTGCTCTTCCTCTCCTATCTCTTCCTGCTTTCTCAAACTCTTGATCCTCTTCCCATTTGAAAAAGCTCTATTTCCATTTTTTTATTCTTTTTTTAAAATATTTTTTCCTTTTTTACCCCTCCATCTCTTCTTTCCCTTCCCATTTGAAGAATATCTCCCTGCTTTCTATTACCTATTCTTTCTTTTGCTCTTTATTTGTATGATGGGTTTCACATATAAGAGAAACCATACAGTATTTAAACTTGTGTATCTGATTTATTTCAGTTAACATTGTCGTCTTAAGGTATATCCATTTATCTATAGATGTTTCAAGTTTATGCTTCTTTATGGCAGATTAGTACTACTGTGTAAAAATATCACATTTTCTTTGTCCATTCATCTGTTGATGGACATGTAAGCTGTTTCCAAGATTTAACTATTATGAATTGTGCTGCTGTAAACATGGGTATGTATGTGTGTATGTATATATATGTATCACTGTAATATGATGACTTAAATCTTTTAGGAAGAGTTCTAGAAGGGAATAGCTGGGTCAAATTGGAATTTCTTGTTTT